ATTTACAAAGATTTGAAATATTCCTTAATTGTTATTCATTTTTTAGTTTGTGAAATATAAACTACGTTTTGATACGCATTTCTTGCATTAAAATATTCATTTTTTTAAAATTTTTCATGTTTTTTTTATTTAAATTCACTTTTTAATTTTCAAAAGTAATGTGTCATTGTTAAATTTTACGGAGTAACGTGCAAAGTAGTTATGTATATTCATCCCGATTTATACCGAAATCGATACCGAACCATCCCGAACCATATTGAACCGATATTTCGGGATCGGGATCGGTACGAGGTAAAATCTCATACTGAACCGAAATATTTGGTACAGTATCGATACGAGCTAAATATCATACCATACCGTACCATGCTTACTCCTAATTCTTTCGTTGAAGTAAAAATGACTTAAATGATAGATATATTATTTGAAAATATTCACAAATGATAAATGATAGTTTTGCGAATAAATTTCTAAAAATGGAGAAACAAAAAAATTGTTTTAAAAATAAGTACCAAAGATCATATTTTTCTAGCTTAATTTGCTCATTACTAGCTCTATTTTAATATATATATATATATATATATATATATATATATATATATATATGTATGTATGTATGTATGTATGTATGTATGTATGTATGTATGTATGTATGTATGTATGTATGTATGTATGTATGTATGTATGTATGTATGTATGTATGTATGTATGTATGTATGTATGTATGTATGTATGTATGTATGTATGTATGTATGTATTAGTAAGAAGAGAAATAACAAAATACTCACTCAATTATTTTTAATTTCATCTTGAATTTACAAGTAAATATTATCCCGTGCATCGCACGGGTGATGCACTAGTTTAATATAAAAAGTATTAAATTTCCATATATTTGGAATATTATTCCCGTATTGAAAAATTGAAAAAATTTAGAAGCAGTATTGTTTTGTTTTAAATTACAGTTTAAAGAAATTCTTTACCATTATATATCCCTGCTTTGCAAAACTGGATTACAGCTATGACGGGTTGCTTTGGCAATTTTTCCACAAATTTCATGAGATTTGAAGCATATCTGCCCCACAAAGTGCATGCAATTCTCGTGCCCCTATAACCATTTATAGTGTAATACACAATTGTATTGGTATAATATACATACTATAATAAGGGATAATGACTGATATGATGTACTTACTCTAAATCCTCTAATATAATCTCCATAATTAGGGTTTCTTTTCCCATAACTGGTTTGGTGATTGGAGGGTCATTAACAAACATTGCGCCTATTACATCTGTTCAAGTAAAAATATTAAATCGTATTAAGATTTTTAAAATAGACAAATGATCTCAAGGAATTTATGTATGAAAAATGAGTAAAGTAATTACCAAACATTGGAACATTTTCAATATTTTTCAAAGCATTTATCTCCCCAAATGGTTTGAAATTGAAAAAATGCTTGGGGAATTGTTCATCAAACATCTCGGTAACAGTACTCCTTTTACCAAGTGATAGCTTAAATTTGCTTGAAACAATGTGAGGCATGTTGTTTGATAGAACTGCCGGATTACTTATTCGATATAAATTCCCCTCTTTGAGCGTTGATCCAAACAATGCTATTTCCTCCTTTTGATAGACTCCAAGAATGTGGTTCCCCTGAAATTTTTTATAAAATAATTAATATCAATTTGAAAACTGGCTAGCTGAAAAGTTTTGAAAAAAAGTATCTCATTGTCGTGAAAAATACACTCCCGTGCATAAACTTCTCCAGCATTTCTGTAGGATATCAAGTCGTAAGAGCAAACTAATCTTAATTTAAGATTGGCACGAAAAGTAGATGGTTTTAAATCCATCAATCTCGTCCAAAGGGCAGGCATTTTAGTAAAGTATAATGCTGATTATTAATAAACCAGTGTATTGAAGGAATTTTGGGGAAGGGTGGGTAGTGTTATGCACTGGAGTGGTATTTATACTGACAATGGAATGTGTTGGGTTCTCAGGACGGACTTTGTTGGTCTGAATACTATGA